TATTTACTCGTACATCTCTTCCTTGTGTGGGATGACTGGGGGCACAATAAAGGAAGGCTTGTAGCAAGAGTATATGGAGACTTATTGAAAACGAAACATATGTTAGAATGTGCTACTGTTGTGTGTGTTTTTAAAGTAGACACTGCCATTGAATTTGAGTTTATAATCAATGTTAGTATAATGTATTTCTCAAACACATTACTGTAGTTTATATTTTTAATTATTTCATTGACACTTGTATATTAAGCCACTATTAAAGTTATCCATCGATACATGTACATGGAAAAATGAATGCTTAGTACTACTACTCAAAATCTGAAAAAATAAATGTTGTAGTACATAGCACAAGTACAAAGTAATGAAGTGACTATATGTAAAGTCTGATGATGTCATTTACTGATTTTTGATTTATATATTTGTTGACCACTTTCACTTGAACTTTAGGCCAGTGTTAAAGGTCTGACACATTGCATGACACTTCAAATTAAATATCTTGTGAAGTTTTCTCAAAGTTAAAATACATTTCTCTTATCCTCTGGGACTTAAAAATATAAATAATTTAAGGTTCCTTTTACATGTGTGGATTTTTGATGTTTATTGAATATGATTTTTGCTGTTTTTCTTGGTGGATTGTTTTTTTAAATTGGTAGCCAGTTTTTGCAAGAGCACTTGTAAACATAGTCAAAAACATAAGAAAATATATTTTATGAAAATATGGGCCTAAACCTCCCCTATTTGCAGCCTTTTCATTTGAATTTATTTCCGCCATGTTATTGAAAAATGTTTTTATATAAATTATAATTGGGAGTTAAGGGAGTGAGTTTGCACACTTTTAAAAAATTCAAAATATATCATTTATTCATGTGCACAGAGTATACATTGTTTGAATCTCAACTGTTACAAGTCTCAACGTCTCAAATGGTAGTCAAGGTTTTCAAATCGTGATGAAAATATAATGAGTGTTTATGGCCAATAAGAAATGCAACCCTTAAAGCATTATAGCGGGTCAAAATGCTAACAGATTTTACGTTTAACGAATACTTATTCTAAATAAGAGACATGATATGAATAATAAAACCAACGGTTACTTTTTGAATGCTATTTTTAAAAATAATGACATATTTACTGATGAAGTTTTTACAAATGCTTTTCTCAAATTGAAAAACATTGTAATCAATTATTTTAGGAGTTACACTGACTTTTTTCAGTTAAAAAAAAATTCCAATATTCTTATTATGCATAGACCTCCAGTCGACTTGCAATATTGACACAATTTTCTTTCGTTTTTTGACAGATCTTTAACTATTCAGAACCTGAATGAGGTCTAGCCTCTTTAAATGTGGCTTTGTATGAAAGTTCAAGTTTATGTATATTCAAAATTCCAAGCACTTTAAAAGAAACTAATTCAGACATATTATGGTGAATGTGCTATTGTACATAATGAAATAATTCAGTTTAAAAGATTTCTACTTACTCTTCATATTTTTCCTTCATGCAATCAGGAAGATTGAGGGGTAACATTTGAAGAGCAAAATACCCAGAAATCTTTTAAAAACCACATTAACTGATAAATACTTTTGCATTGTCATCCTCCAAATGCAGGACTATTATGCAATATTCCCTCTGGTGCAGAGCAAAAAAACAACTAAATGAAATTTTAACTTTGAATGCTAAGAATTGTACTTTATTTTGTTTACTGTCAAATTGCAAATGATCAGACCCAGACAGGGCTTCTTGAGGGAGCACTATGTATTTTATGTGCACTTACATAGACACACCAAGTACACAAAACAATGTTTTATACTGCGAATTGTGGAATGCTCAATGAATTTCCTTATGGAACAAGCAAAAGAGTCTTGTAGTCTTGTCTGACTTGGGAAACAAAAGGACGTTGCACAGTGTCAGAGGAAACCCTTTTCTATGACTGAGCTAATCCAGTGGACTTTAATTTATAGTATAGGGCACCTTTTCTATGACTGAGCTAATCCAGTGGACTTTAATTTATAGTATAGGGCACCTTTTCTATGACTGAGCTAATCCAGTGGACTTTAATTTATAGAATAGGGCACCTTTTCTATGACTGAGCTAATCCAGTGGACTTTGATTTATAGTATAGGGCACCTTTTCTATGACTGAGCTAATCCAGTGGACTTTGATTTACAGTATAGGGCACCTTTTCTATGACTGAGCTAATCCAGTGGACTTTGATTTACAGTATAGGGCACCTTTTCTATGACTGAGCTAATCCAGTGGACTTTAATTTATAGAATAGGGCACCTTTTCTATGACTGAGCTAATCCAGTGGACTTCAATTTATAGTATAGGGCACCTTTTCTATGACTGAGCTAATCCAGTGGACTTCAATTTATAGTATAGGGCACTTTTTCTATGACTAAGCTAATCCAGTGGACTTTAATTTATAGTATAGGGCACCTTTTCTATGACTGAGCTAATCCAGTGGACTTCAATTTATAGTACAGGGCACCTTTTCTATGACTGAGCTAATCCAGTGGACTTCAATTTATAGTATAGGGCACCTTTTCTATGACTGAGCTAATCCAGTGGACTTCAATTTATAGTATAGGGCACCTTTTCTATGACTAAGCTAATCCAGTGGACTTTAATTTATAGTATAGGGCACCTTTTCTATGACTAAGCTAATCCAGTGGACTTCAATTTATAGTACAGGGCACCTTTTCGATGACTGAGCTAATCCAGTGGACTTTAATTTATAGAATAGGGCACCTTTTCTATGACTGAGCTAATCCAGTGGACTTTGATTTATAGTATAGGGCACCTTTTCTATGACTGAGCTAATCCAGTGGACTTTAATTTATAGTATAGGGCACCTTTTCTATGACTGAGCTAATCCAGTGGACTTTAATTTATAGAATAGGGCACCTTTTCTATGACTGAGCTAATCCAGTGGACTTTGATTTATAGTATAGGGCACCTTTTCTATGACTGAGCTAATCCAGTGGACTTCAATTTATAGTATAGGGCACCTTTTCTATGACTGAGCTAATCCAGTGGACTTTAATTAATAGTATAGGGCACATTTTCTATGACTAAGTTAATCCAGTGGACTTTAATTTATAGTATAGGGCAGATATAAATGATGTTTTTGACCTGGGCTTTGATTGAGTTTCTGCTCAGTGACAATTTATGAAACATGAGTATACAAAAAATGAAACTTAAAACCGCCTTGAACAATTAGTATCAGTTGAAACATTCAATGGTTGTTGAAGTTTACTCGAGCATTCATTAATAAAATCATCTAAACAAAACATCTAAGTTTCAACTGTAGGATTTTGACATTTGGACAAATTGTAAATGTCAATTGACTGGTGATATTATCAATTTAATTTATTTTGTATCTTAGGTCATTATGACCAACACCTACACATTGTGTAAAAAATAAACAAATTATGGCCATGTGGATAACCTAGGATAACCAAGTACTCACTTTTTAAAGTTTCATAGAACATAAAGTTTAAGTTGTATGTGTTTATCAAGGAATTCTGTTCAGAGTTTTGAAGATGTAAAGTAGTGATGGTGTGATGTGGTGTGGTAAAACATGTGGCCTGGTGTAGTATGATAAAATTTAAAGTGATGAATAATATTCTCATCTATGAAGAATCATATGGTATTTTGTGAGATGTTATGTGGTATTTTCTACAGACATTGAGTGTAATATGGTATTGTGATATGTAGAGTGGTATTATGTGATAATATGTGCGATCATAAATCTAGAAAATCATTCTCAATTATCTGCAATTTTAACGTCAAACATCCAGTCCATATGATAGATCACCTTGAATTGCTTATAAACCAATGTATGAATATTCAATTATGTACCTGTAGCTTGTAAACTTTTGTTTTAAAGTGTGATTCATTACTGCAATTATAGAGTGTAATCGCCTAGAGTGTGGGTTGCCAGCCAACAGGCGAAATTCATCTCTGTAAAAAACAAATGGTGCAAAATTTAGACTTCGTGTTAAAATGTTGACTTCATTCATCAATTTTATATATCAAAGGAGGCCATTCTGTCATCAAAAAAGCATAAAAGTGTACATTCATTGACAGGGTGAGCCAAAAAATGTTACCCTTACTATATATAAATGTACAATCAGAATGGGTAACATTTTTTGGCCACCCTGTATAAGTTCCCCAATGCAATATCATAGCTACAAGGAATTGATTGTTAGGTATGTTGATATGTGAACATGTATATACATGTAGTTTGACATGATGACACCATTATATCTATATTTGTCCATGTGATCCAACTTACATAGTATCATATCAGTATAAATGGTATTCCAGTATGAATATCAATGCAATGTTTTATTCTGTAATTGATATGGAATTATGTTAATATAGTTCATGTATGTTGAAAAAATACACTCTCTAGTGAACACCTGTGTCTAGTGAACACCAATTCTTACAATATACTCCAACATTTTCTGTTTAAGATCACTTCTCTATTGAAACCTACATTCAGTGATCAAACTTTTGTGGTTCCGTGTTCACTCTAAACAGTACAGGTTTTACTGTATATATAAGAATAAATATATTGATTCCTATCTTTGAAAATCAGTATCAATCAAGTTTCAATAAATTTACTTACTTTGCATTTTCTGTTTAATGCACTTTAGGCTGGAGTAATGATTGACTGTTTTTTGGCAAATAACGCTTATGAGATAGAATTCAATGTTTTTTTTTCATCACTCTGGGCATAGTTTATTTTCATGAATGTATGTACACAGGATATTTTCAGAATTCATTCAGTTTTTTCATTGAGAGTTGAAAGAAGAGAAAGATGGAGGATGGACTTGTTATTACATCTCAATATGAAAATACACATGAAAGTATATGTATTAAATTGTTTATTGCAAATTTTCAAATATCAATAGATAACTGAACTCTAATACACTTTGAAATTGTAAGTAAAGAAAAGTGATTCAAAAGTATAGCTCAATTTATTTATGTTTTTCTAGATTCCTCAAAGTCATACAATGTGAACAATGCAAGAAATATAATCAACAGCTACAGGAGGAAGACTTATACACCCCAGTACCAGTATAGCGCTACCACTGACGATGACAACACGCTTCACCATAGCAACAGTGTTCCTTTTTTACACCGCAGTAGCAGCACTCCTATGTTGAACACAATGCACAGTCCCGGGGGATCAGGGACATCGATAAGCCGGGATTATCGTTCAGGGTCTCTTGTTAGTGAGAACAGCGTCATCGAAGAGATGGAGCCACATCATCGGGATAGCATTGATGAAGATAGTGTGGAGATTAGTGCAACTGAGGAGCACCAACTTGTGGTGAGTAGACACATACATATACAAAGTTTTGAATGTTCAGTCTTTGTTCTACAGATAAAATCTGTCAAAAATATAATTTATTTCAGTTTGTCTTAACACCTACCCTTCATCCCGGTCCTCAAAACGAAACCTTCACTGAAAGAAAAATGATGTCAGAAAATATGATGGCTTTCACATATAGCTACCCATAAGGCATAAGAATCTAAGTGTTTGATGGAAGTTGAAGTTTTGATGTGGCCCGTAAACCACTAAAGTAAAAAAAATTCAGATTCTCCACAGTAAACCCCACCCCCTTTTTTATTGAACACCTCTCCAAAATGAATACATTTTTCAAGCTAACACATTCTCGATTGGTTAATAGCTTGGCAATATATATACTGTTCAAAAACATGGCATAAAGGTTTACAACTAACTCATAATTTACTTATAAATAAAAAATATATCAGGAAGGTGGGCGTTTATTTTCATACATAAGCCAAAGTTTTAAGTAGGATGAGATTCAAGTCTTAGTACAATAATCATAAATTAGTATTCTTATATCGTTTAATCAAAATGACTTATTCATTTGAGGTGAAACTCGTTAAGGATCTTACTAGTATATTTCAAGTATTTTTACCTTGAGGGGCTCAAGTACCAGTAAATTCTAACAGTAAATATAAATAATTTTTTTCATTTTTCAACCCCCATATGGCATTAAAATCACACTGAAAGAGCTTTTGATAAAGTGATTTCATCAAAATAAGCTATAACTTGTGATATTTGAGTCAAATATGATTTCTGAACTATGACAGTTGGATTTGGTAATCTCAGAACTAACCAATATCCTAATTTCTTTGAATTATAGGAAGTTGAAATGACCACCATTTTTCATTTTTGGTAATTATGGGTTGGGGGCATCAAATGAAAACATACATCTGTATTCAGAGAGAGAAACAGACAGGAGTCTGAAGATGGAGGCAACGTCCCATTTAAACAACGTCTTCTCAGGTGATATAGGACCTTATACACTGTGTTAGTGTGGGAGATAGAACTCACATTTGGAAATGTATGCACAGATTTGCTTGTGAAGTGTCCATATGAAGATATAAGGTCATGGGCCAATAGGTTGAGTGAGGTGAAATACCATAAAATATGACCCTTAAGTCACTCAATGGTGGACTCCAGTGAGATATTTTGTTGCTTGGTTGTTTGTTTGTCTCTTATTTGTTTGTTTGACAAAGTTTGTGTGTTTCAGACAAGTAATCTCATACTTAGTCCAGTGTCTTAGTTGTTGATTTTGGTAATGTGGAGAAGCTATAGGTGTGAATGACTTTTAAAACTAAAAATTTGTGTTCCACAATTTCAGGTAGAAGCTGATGTCAAGGAAAAGATCACTCAATAAGATTTTGATAACTGAATTTATAGATACTTTCTCTGTTTCCTAGTTTGAATATTGACATATAAAGGTAGCCCTGCAATTTGATGATTAAATATGACCTGCTACAGCTCATAAAGATTTGAAATTAGGACTGGAATTATTCCATTATCAATGGAGAGCCCTTAGATCGATTATATATATTCATGTTTATGTACAAACAATTTTTCTTCCAAATGGGTTAAACAGTTGTTAGGTACATTTCATCGCTAGAATAGTGTTTTGAGCTATTTTTAATCAGAATGCTAAAAATTGGTGGTTATTATCGTTGCAGAAAGGACCCTTATACAAGTGTAATTGTTGTGAGGGTGTAGCCCAATTTACGATATATCATTGGGGGATGTATGTAGACCCATTTCCACTATATCATGTGGGGGTGTTATGGATATCCACTCAGTACAGGTATAACACTGTTATTTATTTACTGGAAGATGTCTCACTATCTCTCCTATTGAGAGGCATTTGACGAAATCCTTTAAACTCAAGACGTGATGTGTGCTCACGGGAGTACATCCAACCCAAGGTCTTCAACGAACATTTCAATATGGAGCGTATAAACTATTTTGTAATTTATTCTTAAAATTTCAGTTTGGTACATTCATGATGGGTCACAGCGTTCTGATGTTATGATAGTCACGAAACTTTATTGTTTATTTTCTTTTTGAATTAACTGAAAAACGACTAATTCTCTTTTCTTGTGCTTATCATCATGTCAGCATCATCATCTTTAAGTTAAATTGATACATCATCGAGATGCAGATCATGATTTCCTTTCATTTTATTGACTCAAAGGAACTTCAAGCTGATCATTTTAATGAATAAGCGTTATTGTTGAAATATTTATTTATCACGAATTATGATTGATCTTTTTAAACTTCAGCGACATTTATTCAATAATTATTTGATTTATGAAGAGGTTTTTCACCAAAATTCTCAAATGAGATGGCTTCTTGGGAAAAGATACATCAATGTCACCAGTCAGTTTGTTGATTTTACTTTGAATTATTGTTTTAATTTTGTTTATTATCCTAGTAGCTAAGTGGCATATTATGTATTTGATCTTATCTAAATACTCAATCCGGTAAAAAGTGAAAAAAACATACTTGTGTTTAGCACTAAATCAAAACAAACCTGACCCTCGATATTTGTACCTGCAATCCTCGTGTAAAACGATGATTTATATGAATTATATCATTGTGTATTGACTCATGAAGTCATGTCACCATGGCCCCTAAACATTGTTGAACAATAATATCGTTATCACATGAATGATGGTTAATCCTGGCATATCATCAAGAGAGCTTAGGCTAGATGACGCAGGACTGTGTATATATGATACCACAATACAAAAAACATATAACACAATACATTTCTTATATTTTGATAATTATTGGTCAAACTTATTGTTGGGTTTCATAAGGAGATGAAAACAGATCATTTTCTTTGTGGAATCCAGTTTGTACCCTTTCTATAAAAGTAGATCTCTCATCTACAGCTGCATCTGCTTGTTTTAGGTGTTCTTTCATCAAAATGTGATGACTCCTTTGAGCAATATGTCTTTGTCAAAAAGTGCACATTTTATTTTTTTAGATTGTGAAATCCACTGATAAAGTTTTAATAGGAAGTGATAGCTTATGGAAAATGCTAAACAAATGTGAAGTTAGTATGAATACACAGGGTATAATATCGGAAGTATAGACTTAGACTAAATCCCTCTAAACTGTATGTCATGTTATATATTTGAGTCATTTATATGGAATAGATGATACATGTATGGTAATATTATATATACATGTAGTAATATCTTTTATTAGGTTTTTGATATATAATTCACATATGATCCTGTATAATTAACCACAGAAATGTGTAATTTGTGAAAACTCTCTCATGAAGTGCATGGGTTTCTGTTTTGAAACTAAAAGTGTTCGGCAAACAAGATCTCATCTCATGTTAGTCAATATACCGTATGAGTGGTCATTTTGCCCAACCATTTAATTTGCCTTTTGCATAAGTTTTGCCAGGTTCGAAAATTATGGGAGGTTTCTTGTCATGAGGAAAATTAAAATGATAAAATTTGACCATTTAGCAAATTAACCACTCAGATTGAATATCACTTATGCAGTACCCAGGGAATTAAAGATCATAAATGTACAGAGTTGTTCTGTTGACTTGAAAAGTTTTTATTTCCAAAATAATGTGAGCTCAGAAACTATTGGTTACTCCAGAATAAAGCAGTGATTCGTAATCTTCATTTGCATGACTTTAATAATCAGTATCTCCAGACTTAACTTCAATGTCGATGTCAACATGTATTTTAATTATATCATTAATAGTTTTAATTGTTAGGTGGTTTTGATGACTTAATTCAATTAAACTTCAATTTGAAGAGCCTAATAGAGATATACTAACAGCAAGGTATACATCATACAAGCATCTACTCAAGAAACACACATTTGAAATTAAACATGAACGCATAAAATTTTGAAAAACATAAAAAAGATTTATAACTTCTTATTGTGCTCGAAGTAAACACACTAGCCAAATAGGAACTTTGTTTCAACGAACATCCTGATTTAAAATAAACCGTCATAACATGAATTATTGACTCAGAAAGCGTCTTATACCGATAATTGGGCAACGGCCAGCCGATAAATGGTATATAAAAGTCAACTGATTTTAAGATCCTCATAATCTCAACCTACAATAGAAAAGACAACCACACTTGAAAAAATGTTATTCTTGAATTTTATGACAAGACTTGAGATTTGATTAAATTTTAGTGATTGCCATTTTATGATTTTATTTTGTATTTGCTAAAATCCTCAAGATGAAAATAGAGTTTAATATAAGAGGGCAGGATGTGATGGGAGATCTTCAAATGAATCTAGAAGACATGACTAAAGATAAGGTAGGTCAGGGTTAATGACATTTGAAATCTGTTAAAAAGTATAGATAACTTTCCCATTGAAAGGCATTGAATATGCTTTTATGCACTTTCATTGACATAATACTCATTTTAGCTAAGAAATTGAATGATAAAATTATGAAATCATTGCTGTAAAATCTTCATTTATGAAATATACCTTTTATGAAAGATATAAGATATAAACTAGTTGTATACTACAGTAAAACTTGTGTATGTGAACACTTCTAGAGTGAACATCTGGTATTATGAACACTGTTTCAGTCTCATTTTTGGATGTCCCATAAACTCCAAACACTCATTATTATATGAAGACCTCTCAATGTGAACATTTACCATCAGCTTTAGCAGTGTTCAATTCACAAAAGCTTCCCTGTATTTGTAAATGTAAAGTTATGACAATTACTGGAAGTCACAGATGTCTCTTTTACATTCGTAAAACACAAGGGAAAATGACTAAGTGATATATCACTGAATTATCTCCTAAAACAAAGCCTCGCATTTATTCAAGTGTCCCTTACAGGTAAAATGTCTGTAACATTCTGTGTGGGAGGGGTGATGACTATATGTAATCAGGAAGTTAAAAGATAAGAAAAAATAAGTTTGACTAATTTGAATTTCGTGATGTCACATACTTTGTGCATATATTATTTCCAATATATG